GGGGTCGGAAGTGGAAGTGTCATGGCCGCCGCGTGCCAGAAGGTCCGAAGAAGCAACCAAGTCAACGTGACCTTCAACGAACTCTTCCAAGAGAGGTTGGTGGAGGTTGAAGGTGGTGAAGAAGATGGCGATCTACTCTACGGTAGGCTTGAGGCCTACACAAGATGGTTGCGGAGTCTCGTAGCCACACCAGGCTTGGTGGTAGCCCATGTCCAACCTCTCCACACTCTTTTACCACGAGATGACCCCAAAAGAAGAGCTTTAAGAGCAGCCATCGGTCATTTTATCACTTGGAGATCCATCAGAGTCAACTGCAGCCATGTTTGTCCCATCACTAGCAACGGCGGCCATCTTGTCGGCTCATGTCAATGCCGATGTTCTACCAACGCCGTGGTCAACGCCGATTGTTGCTCCAGGCATCGTGGTTTGGCTAGGATGGTGGTGATGGTGGACACCGGGTGGGGTTGGAGTGGAGATCATTTCTCCATGACCGATCCATACGTCCGGGTGATTTTTGGTGACCATCAAGCTCAAACCTCAACGTTGTGGAACACCAACCGACCACGTTGGAGGACACGGTTGGATTTAGGGGTGGTGACCTTGATACCCAACGTTGGGTTGAAGGTAGAAGTGTGGGATGAAGATAATCAATGGGATGATGATTTGTTGGGGGTTTGTGAGGAGATGGTGGAAGCTGGTGGTGACCATGAAGTCATCTGCTTCCCCGGAGGTGGACATTTGAGGTTTAGCTATAAGGTGACTTGTGGACCATCTCTTGGTGGACCTCTTTGCCATGACTACGTGCCACAAAGCCCACGAGGTGATGGGGGGCTCTATAGGTTCTCCAATTGGCCACCAAGACCTGGAGATGGACATGTCAAGTGGCCCAACCAAGAGGAAGATGATGATGATGATGAGGATGATGGTGGCAACCAGGAGAACCTCAACCTTGAAGGTTCCTGGGAGGATCTTGGAGATCAATGGGGTGAGCCCACGGATGCGTTTGGTGACCTCCCGGAGCCTTTGTTGGGCTTCAAGGAGGTTCCTCCAGAGATGGAGCCATCATCTGGGGCTGGGGAGGTTCCTCCAGCCCCATAAGTTCCA